TGCATGGATCCTCAGCCTCTCATACTGGTTTCTTGCCCTCTGGGTCTGTGCATCTGCCACACTCAAGAGTGTGTCACTGCCCTTCAGCTCACACGCAATGTGGGCAGCATTACTGATCTCTCAAATCTTAATTTCCTACTCATGGGAATGTAGTGTATCCCATCATTCTGTATACTTGGAATTAGTAAAACCATCCCTATCATTCATATTATTACCATTATTATTTGTAATCTCAAGGAACTCAATTTTAGATATAGTTCTCACATGTGAACTTGTTGAACACTTATTTTACATTTTTTTCATACAAAGGAAGACCCAGAACTAAAAGAGAATTTTAGAGTACACCAGACCAAGTAAAAAAAAGAATCAGTATACTCAAAGAAAAACCATTTGAAATAATACAGCGAAAAAGCGAAATATATGAATGAAAGAGAATGAAGAAGCCGAAAGGATTTATGGATGAGGAACCACACTAAAAACTAAATTATGCACTTAAGGAGTTTTACATATATGAGACAGAGGGATAATGGGAAGGGACAAAGAGAGAGAGAGAGAGAGAGAGAGAGAGAGAGAGAGAGATCCAGAACTCTGTGGAAGAAACTATTTATCAACATTCAAGAAACTATAAATATTAAATAAGATAAACCCAATGACAAAAACACTGAGGCAGTTTAAAATCAAACTGCTAAAATTAAAAGAAGTTCAGAAAACATGAAAGAGAGCAGGTTTCTTAGCAGAATGTCTTCAGTTCAGGAGGCAGAGGGGCTGTACTCATTGATGTGTGGCTTTCTGAGGGTTCTTTCTGAGCAATGGTCCTTAGGCAATTTCATCCCTGTGCAAGCATCACAGTGTGTAATTACACAGAGTTCACGGAACACCCCACTACACAGCAGGTGAGGGGAGTCAGCACAGTGCTGCCCGGAACTCACCTGCACAGCGTGTTGCTGCACTGAACACAGTAGGAAACCGAAACTCCACGGTAAGTATCTAACGACTCACAGCTAAACATGGAGAAAGTTGAGTGAAAATGCGCTGTTACAATTTCATGGGGCCACAGATATTTACGTTGCCTATTGCAGGGCTCTCAACCTAAAAGTGCCCTTCATCATCTCCCCACACACAGCTCTCAGACCCTAAATTACCTCCAAGACCCAGTATTGTTTTCCATCCCTTTGTTGATAATATTGTTTTATTAAATTAAATGGGGCAAGATCTCAGCCTTGCCATATGGCAGCCTGCATATAGTCTCAGGTTCTGTCAGGAGAGCATGGCAGGAGTGAGACTGGTCTTTCTGGCTGCCAGGGAGCTGGCTGAGGCCTGTCACTGCAGGCAGCCATTATCTCCCACGAATGGAACTCCACTGGCCTGAGTACCACCAGCTCAACCCCCACAGTGGCTGCAGCAAGGCCCACCCAAGGAGAGTCTGAGCCAGGCCCACCTAACCCTGCCGCCACCCGAGGGCTGTTTTCTACCCACCCTGGTAGACAAAGACAAATGACCTAAGTTCTTAGGCGCTCCATGGCCCTGTCCACCTCCTGGGTAACCCTGGCACTCATCCTGGCACACCTAGGGCAAGACTGTATCCCCTTTCTACTACTGCCATTGGCACTCTCTTGAAAGTGTCATCCCGTGGCTGGAGGTCAACCAAATCAAGCCATTACAGCAGCTTATCACAGAACAAACCTGCTCCAAAGAAGGAGAACCCAACAGCCAGTTCCGCCACCTGCTAAACCCTGGCTAGCTGGGGGTCTTGAGTCCGTCCAGGTGACAGCTTCTTTTCTAGCATAACCAGCACACTAAACAAAACTGTAATCAAGAACCCCAGATGACACCACTTGACTCCCCTGCCACCTCCACAGGAGCAGACGCTGGTATCCATGTCTGGGAGACCTGAAGATGGATCACGTCACAAGGCTCTGCAGACATTTCCCAGCACCAGCCTGGAGCCCAGGAGCCCCGCGGGATGGCTAGACATGGAAGGGCGGTAACCATCGCTGTAGTCTGGAACTCAGAAAGCCCCATGCCTAAGGGAAGGCGGCGAGCACCATGTCAAGGAACAATCCTGTGGGATAAACACTCTAAACAGCAGCCTCGAGTTCTAGATCTTTCCACTGAGACAGTATATTCAAATGAGATAGGTGAAGCACCTGTTTCCAAACTCCGGTAATGAAGGTACTATTTATACAGTTATTTTGTTATCTATAATAGGATGGATACAATATGTTATTATCATAACCATTTCTTTGTCCAATAGTGTGCATGTGTATAATTTCTTTTTATCATTTGTGTACTAGTTTCTGGTGGTTCTGAGCAGTATCGACCACACAGTCCCCCCCGCCTCCCTGCAGGGAGGTTTGCGTCTGGGCTCACACAGATGTCCCCTCACTGTGTCTGTCACGGTGATACATGTCCTTGTCCTTGGCTCTCAGGTTGGTCATTTTGAGGGAGACTGTGCTGATAAGGGTGTCCCTGAGGAGTATGATTCTTCTTTGTATTGATGAAGGTTTCCACTAACAAATTCTGCTGGAATCACTCCCTGTTGCCTCCCACACCAACCCCTGCCCTGAAGCCTTCTGGGCTGAGCTCATGCCACGGTCAGTGAAGGTGAATCCAGAGGCTTTGTAAAGAAGGCTCAGAGAATCCATTGGCCATACCATTCCTCTCCAGATTCCAGCAGTGAACTTTACACAAGACACTTACAAACACAGAGGGAAGAGACGAGAAGCAGTCACAGCTGGACTTGATCCACAGGGACCCTCCTTCTGAGAGTGATAAAGGGAGAAGCCCAGATCAGCACAGACCCTAAGGTGTGGACACTGGGGAAGGGCACAGACATCAGGTGGCTTCCCACCAGGACCTGCACGGACAGGGAATTAGCTGCATGTTATGAGCATGGGGGACACATTTACACCTGTTTCTCCCTGTGGACAAGAGTGCACTGCTCAACAGGGCTCCTCCCTCTTCTGCCTATGGATTCTTGGGAGGGCAGCAGTCAAAGAATCACTGGAACTGGATGCTCTGGGTTAATCTACCTGACACTCTCTTATTTTTCTGTAATGTGAACTCTGTTTGGGTATTTTAATGGAATCAACATTCAACAACAAGTAAGTCCAGGAAATACACAAAACGGAACCTGGCCCAAGGAAAATGCACACCTGCCTGTGTTCTGTGAATTCAGAGCTGGAATCACCTGTTCTTAACAATAAGGCAACGTGTTCACGTAGGAGAGAAAATGCAGGCTGCACATTGTCAGGGCTGGAGTTCATAATTTCCTGGGCACCGAGCTCAGGTTTCCACTTTGTCCCTCAACACCCCAGGGACAGGGCACCTCAGTGTGCCCCTGCACACTCCCTGTGCAGGGTGGAAAGTGGGCGAAGGTTCGCCGTGTCTAGGAAAGCATCTGGAGACCCCTGCTAACAGTGCTGCTACCTTCTCTTGATTCTCCTGCCTCCGTCTCTTCTCCTGCAGGGGTGAGTCTGTCCAGAGGAACCTTGTGACTCCCTGGGACACCTCTCTGGGAAAAGTTCTCGTATAACAAGCAAACATTGCTGAGATCTTCTCTGAGTATACACTCAGATAGTCGGCACAACTTTGACTTCAAACGCTGTCAAATGTGTCATAAGGATAAGAAATTGCAGACTTACATGTCTGGTGAAGATAGATGCAGAGATCCCAAAGAAATTGCAATAGCCAAATATCATCATAATTAGGATTATGTAATTATTATAATTATTAATTTTCAGTGCAGTATATAATAGTGGATAATTAGTGGGAGGAGGTTTGTGTGCAACTTGTCACCTTCCAGAGCCCATCATGGGGTTGACACTGACAAGAAAGCAGATGGACTTGTTCAGCTGGAGAGTGACAGGTATTTTCATAACCTATGACTGCAGTGAGGCTCTCCCTCTTCAAGACAAATCAGGCTCAGGCCTCTGCCTAAAGTGCAGCCAGCAGGGGGACCAGTGCCCAACCCCGAGAGGGCTTTCTTAGGGGACAAACCACGGTGTGCAGGAAAGCGATTCTTCCTGCCCGGATCCCCTGCATGTGTGTTCACTTCCTGCAGAAAGGGCCTCCTCCAGAAATACCCCCGAGAGCTTTCACTGTGTTTAATCCAACTCTAGGGCATCACTCGTGAAGTCCCTCATGACCAAAGTCTCCACTTCTCTTTAAAGGTCGTGCATTATGGAATTTGCCAGAAGCTTCCGGCATTTTCAAGAAATGGACCTGCCTCTACATGCTTGAAGAACTTTGACTCTGGGAAGGGGTGTAGAAAACCAGGAGGGAGTGGAGCTGTAAGTCCGTGCACATTTTATGGATTTCTGAGGAAAGAGTGCAAAATGGAATGGCTTCACCTGCTTTCCCTCTAACTGGCATCATTCCCAGTAGCCCACTTGAAGAATCTGTGGGGCTTCAGAGTAATTTAGGCCTGTTATACCAGGGGACCAGCAGGAAAGGAAAGAACAAATGTGTCCATGTAGGTTTCTCCATTGTAACACGGTTCTGACTCTGCTGCAGGGTGTTGGCAGTGCGGAAGGCTGAGTATGTGATGTTCAGGGGTACCTGGGAGCTCTATTTTTTTGTACATCTACTGTAATCTTAAAACTGCTTTAAACTAAATTTATGCAAAAAGAATACCAAGACACTTTGGAAGACATTTGGCAATTTCTTAGAAATTATATTTAGTCTTAGCATGTGATCAAACAATCCTGCTGATTTATCCTCTCAGTTTTAAAACTCTGTCCCCACAAAGCCTCCATGGGAACGTTTGTATCAGCTTGATTGATTGCTGCCTTTCCCACTCTGTGAATTTTGCTTATAGGGTGAGAGTTGAAAAGAATTTTCTACATCATTAGAGAGCATACAACTTTCTATTGCCTTTTTCCTTCAATTACTTAACCCATTGGCTAAAAAATGTTAAACCTCATAATCCCTGTCATCTCCTCCACACCAGCACAGCTGCCTCCTCCCTCAGGGTTTCTGACACTCTCAGGATGTGGTTTTCACACTGTGTCTCTTGCACAGTAATACACGGCTGTGTCTTCAGATTTCAGGCTGCTCAGCTCCATGTAGGCTGTGCTCGTGGATGTGTCCCTGGTCATGGTGACTCTGCCCTGGAACTTCTGTGCGTAGTTTGTGCCACCAGTGTTGGTGTTGATATATCCTATCCACTCGAGCCCTTGGCCAGGGGCCTGTTGCACCCAATGCATGCTATAGCTGGTGAAGGTGTATCCAGAAGCCTTGCAGGAGATCTTCACTGAGGCCCCAGGCTTCTTCACCTCAGCCCCAGACTGCACCAGCTGCACCTGGGAGTGGGCGCCTGTGGGGAGGACACAGGAGTGGGTGAGATCCCCATCTATGAGACGTAATTCCATCCTTAGCCCTGGGACCAGGGATTCTCTTACCTGTAGCTGTTGCCACCAACAGGAAAATCCTCCACGTCCAGTCCATGGTGAGGTTCTGTGCTCTGGTGGCTTCCGTAGGGGAGAGATGTGGCTGTGATGTGATACCCTCAGGGCAAGGACAGACCTGTATTTACCACATTAGACACCAGAGCATTTACATATTGATGAGCCAGCTATTTCATAGATCAAGCCCATCCCAGCCTGAGAGACATTTGGACCATGCAACAGTGGGATGCTGAGCTACATGTTCTGACCTGTGTTTAATGACCTCTGTCTTCTGGTATGCTCAGAAGTCCATGAAGACAGAAATCCTGTTGCAGACAGTCTCACAGGACATGGTCCTCAGAGTGAAATGGCACACTGGCAACCTGAAGTTTTCCTGGCCTTGCTCTCTTCAAGTCTAGCTACTGGCACCAATGTGTCTCCTAATATTTGGACCCATTGGATTAATAAAATGACCACATTCAATTTCAAACTATAGGTATATCTTAAAGGTCTAAACATTTATCTTTTAAAATGTGGTTCCTACTGACTTGTTGGGCTAAGTAAATGCTACAGATACCAAAGGATGTTTAAGTACACAGCAGTACTCCTTGCTACATTCTTATTTAAATTTCTATATCAACATTGCTTTAAAGTAAATATGATTCAATCGCAAAGAGGAACCTCCTCTCCAGTATCCTGTGCACCTGCTCCCGGGTTGCAGCCTGTGCTGGGTGGATCCTGGGCTCCCCCTGCAGCTCAGCTTCTGCATTGCAGGGAAGTTCCTGCCGGGCTCACAGAGCATTCTCCTTGCAGCGTCTCTAGCCCAGTAGGAAGTGGCCATGCCCTGGCTCAGAATAGTCCTTCAGCAACCCCATGTGCCGATGATACCACCTCTCCCAACAGGAAACAGGCCTCAGTGAACCCAACACATTCTACAGGGAGACCTCAGCACAGCGAGCAGTGAATCACCAAAGCCACCAGGGAGCTGCTGCTGGAGCCCCAGATGCACTGATGTGGCCCAAACACGTGGCGAACCCAGGAAGTCATGCGGACTCTGGGGGAGTCTCTTTTATTTTTTAAAATTCTGTGATTGAAGATCAGATCAGGTTATATAACTTTATACTCATCTCTCTCTCTCTTTCTCTCTCTCTCTCTCTCACACACACACACACACACACTGGCATAATTGCACATTAACGGACCTCAAGTTTGACCTGTTTTCTGGTACCTTGCCAAAAAAATTTGCTGCCACCACCGACCCTAGACCAGGTTGTGGTGCTGTTGCTTTTCCCTTTTGCAAACAGACGTATGGAAGCTCGTTACAACTGGAGACTTGGGAAGTGTCTTCACCTTGTTTCTGCCCATTTTCACCTGGGAAGCCTAAAGATGCCCCAGGAGACGTGAATCCAAGGCCAATGAATGAGGCCACAACCCAGGTCCTGAAGCTGCTGGTGTCAGAGGCTGCAAGTTGTTCCTCTGTCCTTGACTTTTTCTCTCTCACCGCCTTTGGTTCCCTAAATTTACCTCCTTAAGAGACTGTGCATTGCCACAATTTCATCTCATCCAGCTTTATCATACTGGTAAGGAAGCAATGGATGGGGAAGTAGTGGGTATTACATGTTCTTAAAATTAAATTTCAATGTTTTCTTCACGTTCTTTATGGAGGCTGTGCTCTTTATAGGGTGTCTCTAGTGGTACAGCTAATTTTCCTTCACCTCTACTCCTTCTCCTGGCTTCAGCGTCCCTAGGTTATTTTTGTGTCTAATTCATTGTGCCCTTTATGTAATAAAAAAGGCTGTGTGGAAGCTGTCTGGGATGGAGATTCCTTCCCCTTTATACAACAAAGATCTTCAAAAGTCCTTACCCTGCAGGGTCTGTGTAGAGAAGGTTTTGAGTATATTTCTCAGAGACCACTTCTTCTGATGATAGAGCCATGAGGGAATCTACTTTCCACATTGAGAACCTGGAGATTTCTGGACAGAAATTCCACAACGGTTGGGGTGTGTGGCCCCTGGGAACTCTCACCCTCATTCTACCGATGCCTGTCCTGACATTCATGGTAAATACTAGGTAAGTGTTCCCACCAACTTGTGCTGTCAACTGACAAATCACACAATCCATAACGTCAGAAAGGAGACTTTATATCTAGTGAAGGTTTGAGCCTGCAGGACGGCCATCCTAACAGGCTGGGAAGCAAAGCCTCCCACACAGACTGTGAGCAGGCCCTTCCAGGAAGGGAAACATGAGGAATGGATTCATGCTGAATAGACTGGCCACCTGTGCACATTCACAGGCTACAGCAGGAGCTACGAATATTCACAGATGGGCCAGGCTAAGCTGTGTGATTAGAAAACACACACGTTACATGCATTCCATGTTTGCTTCGGGGTGAGAACTTCACATCTAAACGCATTAAAATTGGACCCTGTACATAAGAAGGTTTTTAAAAGTACAGAGGCACAAAGACAAGCAGTGCACAGCCTCTGTAACCAGCCAGGACCAGGCCATGCTCAGCGGTCTCTAATCAGGAGAAAGTCACTGAAATTGGCCTCTTGTCTAATCCAAGCTCTATTTACAGCTGGTGGAGCAGAGACACAGTCAGCCAGCTTCTGGCGTTCTGCGATCTGCGACTGTCTAATCTTGCTTGTCTCAGGACCAGTGCTTGGTTAGTTGCCAGAGAAAAAGAAAAGCCTTGAGGCTGTTAGAAAGAACATAGCTTAGGCCGGGTGTGGTGGCTCACGCCTGGAATCCCAGCACTTTGGGAGGCCAAGATGGGTGGATCACCTGAGGTCAGGAGTTCGAGACCAGCCTGCCCAACATGGTGACACCCCATCTCTATTTTTAAAAAAAGAAAAAAAATTTGAGAAAAAGAACATAGTTTATTTTGTAAATGTGTGTGTATGTGACTAGCCCTTACCTCACGGGGCCTTAGCTCTTCAATATAATGTGGTATCTTATTGCCACAAAGTGTTATATGAAGAAGGTCAACTATATTTGATATTCGGAATGCTGGTCACACCAGTGAAAAAAATCTGTATAGTGGCCTACACATATCAGAAAATAGAGAGTGAGAAAGTCACAAACTTGCAAAACCAGGAGACATGTAACATATTCCGTATTCAGCTCTGTCTATTCTCTAGGAAAATAGATTATATCTGCATGGAAAATGAGAGAAGTATTTTTAAAGATAATTCTTGAGAAAAGTTGCTAATACAGTTACTCAGATGAGGTTCTGACACAGGACTGTGAAGGGGACGTTGACCCGTAGTGGTCACTGTCAGAGATATGGGATGCTCAACCTGGGGTGTTCCTTTGCCAATGCCCTGTCCACGAGAGACGTTATGCTCTAATGTGCCATGTTGCATGTGAGTTTCTTAACCTCACATAATGATAGGAATGTGAGAACAGAAAAGATGAGAAAAGTGAAGACCACGCTATGTCAAATAAGTTCCACTGTTGAGAATTTGTCACACAGAGATCCAGGGATGAGCTGGGAAGAGGAAGGGGCTGGAAAGCATCCTCCATAAAGGGACACATGCAGCCTGCTTGAGCTCCCCGGGGAAGTAGGGTTTAAATGATTCTTCTCAGCTAATGGTAGCCATGTCAGGACCTCCACCAGCTTTCATCAATATAGATTTCTTAATAAAGAAATGCCCATAGTTTATTCAGAGTGGATTTTTTATGCTTATTTTACCTCTCTAGGAAGCACCAGAGAAGGATGTTTCCGTGATTCTTCCAGATCCTTCTTGAGTTCCGGGTGCAAGTCCCGGAGGAAAAGCCTGCATGAGGAAGGGAGGCCTCCTCATGTGCAGCCCTGAGGCTGTCACCTCACCTCACCCACCACTGCCCATCAGTTGTTAAACATTTCTGAGCTAATTTTCCTGAAATGTGTGGTATTTGGTAGTGTCTTCCTCAGATAAGATAATACTTAAGTCCTATTTACTCCTGCATGTATCCATTTCTGGAGCTCAGGTGGTTTTTGAATGTGTAGTAGTGGATAATTAGTGGAAGGAGGTTTGTGTGCACCTTGCCATCTTCCAGAGTGCACCCCACATGACACTGACACCAATAAGCAAGCAGATGGGCTTGCTCAGCTGGAGGATGACAGGCATTATTATAACCTGTGACCCCAGTGAGGCTCTCCCACTGCAAGACCAGTCAGGCTCAGGCCTCCTGACAATGTGCAGCAGCACAGGAAAACAGTGCCCGCCTCAGAGAGGGGTTTTCCAGGTGACCACCCTCTTCCTAAGGGAAGCTTTTGTCCCTGCCTGGATCCCAAGCATGTGCTTGCATTTGCTGTATAAAAGACTTTAACCAGAAACACCACCCAGGAGCCTACAGTGTAGATAATCCATCTACAGGGCCTCATACGTGACATCTCTCATGGCCAGGGTCTCCACTTCTTATTAAAGGACATTCATTTCATTGGGGGTTTCACTAGAACTTCCTGGACTTTTAGAGGCATGGACATGTCCCTAAAAGTTTAGATATCTTACCCTCTGGGAAGGGGCACAGTAACCAGGAGTAAGATCAGTTCTAAATCAATAGAGGTTTTGCGGATCTTGGAAGAAAGTGTCCAAACAGGAATAGCCTTACCCACTTTCCCTCTAAATAATACAATTCCTAGAAACCCTCTGAAAATATCTGTGGTGCTCCAAGATAATTTAGGCTTGTTATACCAGGGGATCACCATTAAAAGAAAGTTTCATCGTTTGTAACTTACTGAAGACTCTGGTGCCGGATGCTGATAGTGAAGAAGGCTGTGCTTGTGCTGGGCAGGGATTCACGGGAGCTCTGGTACTTTCTGCTGATTTTACTGTTATCCTAAAACTGCTCTTAAATAAATTTTATGCAAAAACAGAGACAGAGAGATTCTTGGAAGACATTTTGGTCATTTCTTCAGAATCATACTTTGTCTTACCATGTGGCCAAATAATCTTGCTCCAAATTACTCATCCATCCCATTTGAAAACTTGTTCATAATAATATGTTCATGTGAATTTTTGTATCAGTTTTATTGCTACGGTTTGGCTGTATCCCCACCCAAATTTCATCTTGAGTTTTAATAATTCCCGCATGTCAAGGGCAGGCCAGGTGGAGATAAGTGAATCATGGGGGTGGTTTCCCCCATAATGTTCTTGTGGTAGTGAATATGTCTCACCAAATCTGATGATGGTTTTATAAAGGGGAGTTACCCTTGCACAAGCTCTCTCTTGCCTGCTGCCATGTAAAATGCCCCTTTACTCTTCCTTCATCTTCTTCCATGATTGCGAGACCCCAGCCATGTGGAACTATGAGTCCGTTAAACTTCTTTTCTTTATAAATTACCCAGTCCCAGCTATGTCTATATTACCAGCATGAGAACGGACTAATACAGGGTCTTTCCTACTCTGAATTTGCGTATAGGGTGACTCTTCAATAAAATATTTCTCATAAAACTACAGTGTGCCATTGTTTCTAGTGCTCCTTGTCCTCTGTTATTTAACCCATCTTCTAAACAACTTTAAACCTCATAATCCCAGTCGTCTCCTCCACACCAGCACAGCTGCCCCCTCCCTGGGGTTTCTGACACTCTCAGGATGTGGTTTTCACACTGTGTCTCTTGCACAGTAATACACGGCCGTGTCCTCAGGTCTCAGGCTGCTCAGCTCCACATAGGCTATGTTCGTGGACGTGTCCCTGGTCATGGTGACTCTGCCCTGGAACTTCTGTGCGTAACCTGTGCTGCCATCACTAGGGCACACATATCCCATCCACTCAAGCCCTTGTGCAGGGGCCTGGCGCACCCAGTGCATACAGTTGCTAGTAAAGGTATATCCAGAAGCCTTGCAGGAGATCTTCACTGATGCCCCAGGCTGCTTCACCTCAGCCCCAGACTGCACCAGCTGCACCTGGGACTGGGCACCTGTGGGGAGGACACAGGAGTAGATGAAAGCACCTTTGACTGGACCCAATCACCTCCTCAGTCCTGGGGACTGAGGATGATCCTACCTGCAGCCATGACCACCAAAGATAGGATCCTCCAAGTCCAGTCCATGGTGAGGAGCTGTGCTCTCAGGGCCTTCTCTGGAGGAGGAATGTGGTTACTAGGTGATGCTCTCGGGACACAGATATATCTGGAGTATCTACCTCAGGTGATTTGCATATTCATGAGCACTACCACTTCATAGCCTTACACCTGATCCAGCATGGGAAAGGGAAAACAGAGCTCACATGAACCACACAGCTGTGGGGTGCTGAGGTGCACGTCCTCATTCTTATTTAATGTCGTGTGTCCCTTTATACGCCCAGAACTTTGTGAAGGGAGAACTTCTCCACTGAGAAGCCGACTCACACAGGACACGGTTCTCAACGTGAGCCCAAATTCCCATGGCACATGCACAGCCTCCGCCCTCTCGAGGCTTTGCTGTCTGCAGTACCTATTAATATAGGTACTAATGTGTACCTATATTAAATGTGTACCTTTTGATTTAATAAAACTGTCCTGGTTCTTTATCTTTTTACTAGTAAAATATCTCAAAGCAGTAACAATTTTGCCTTTTAAACGTGATTCTCACTGAATTGTTGATTTACCTCTAAATGTATTAGGGTATTTAAAGATACATAAATCATCTTTGTAAAATTCTTATTTTAGTCTCTTACAGTTTTTTGGTAATCAAGAAAGTAGCACTCAGTCCTGTAAGAACCCCCCTTCGCAGCAGCCCTGGGGCTGGAGCATGTGCTGGGGGGTCCTGGGCGGCTCCTGCAGCACGGCCTCTGCATTGCATGGAGGTTTCCATCTGGGCTCACAGCGCATTTACTTCTCAGTGTCTCTAGGGCTATAGGGAGCGGCCATGTCCTAGTTTAAAATGCTCCTTCAGTGACGCCATATGTTACTGACACTGTCTTTTGAAAACATTGACCTTAGGAGACCCAGTGCATTCTGCAGGGAGACCCCAAACAAGGATTTAATTAAGGAACTGGGGAGCCCCTTCCCTGGATCTCAGGATGCATTGCATCAGTGGACACATAATAAGCACAAAAATTTTCAAGGGTTTTTGGGGGATCCTTTATCTGTTTTAGGCTCCTGCAGTTGACTATGACATCTAAGAATACCTGTAGCTATATATGCCTATGGATCAATGCCCACTCCACGTCTTCTGTTTCGATAACACACGCACACACATACACAAACACACACACTCACACAGAGCTAGTTGATTTTTACAATAATAGGCCTCTAACTTGCACTTTTCTCTAGTGTCTTGCAAATGGGGAGCACCCCCTACACTAATACTAGACATGAGCAAATGACTTCCTTCTGCAAACAGAAGGAAAACGGTATACAATTGGAGACGTAGCACATGCACGTTCATCATATTTGCCTATTCTCACCCAAATATTGCAGTGGCCCTAAGGGAAGTGACTTTCTGTCCATCCAGGGTTGAGTTTCCACATAAGTCAATAGAATCTGCCACCACTGACAGAAGGGCAGAGTACCAGCGACTCTAATTACATGAGCTACTCCAAGGAAAGCTTCAGTGATAATTGTGTTGTTAGATTCTGTGCTTGTTAGGGCAGAAGATGGTGAGGATAACAAAGCAGAGCTCACTTGGTCATATGGCTGTGTGCTTGATTGTTTTTAAAATATCTTCGGCTATCTTTAGCGACAACATTAAAACATAATAGAATTGAAGCCTGATATAGAATGTACAGAAACATGCACAGGAATAGGCAGCCAGGAAGCATAGTGGACTGTAGCACCAGGGTTTTCTAAAGGGTTATGTGATAAAGATACAGGAGATAAGGTACATAAATAGTTTAGATTGTCCTGCAAACATGGGTTAATATATGCATGTATATTTTCTAGGCCGGTTAGCTTAGAGATCCTAAAAACACTGACACCTCATCAACACAATTTTGTATTTTAATGTAATTATTTAATACTAGCAACCAGAAATCCTTGGAGAAACAACTGATTCTATGTATGGAAAACATAACAGAGAAAATCAGCTTAGAATTTCTCATAATACCGGGAAATAGGGACGTGTTTGAAAACAAAGAATGGGGTGTGCTTTACAGAATCCAAACTAAAAGAGCTAACAGAACCTAAAAAACTTGTGATGATCTGAGAAATAAAATGAATAGTGTAGCATTGTATCTTCTCCAGATCATAAAGTTAACCTCCATGAACCAATACTAACCATTTATTAATAAAGAAAATTAGAAAAAAAGCCGGGCGCGGTGGCTCAAGCCTGTAATCCCAGCACTTTGGGAGGCCGAGGCGGGTGGATCACGAGGTCGAGAGATCGAGACCATCCTGGTCAACATGGTGAAACCCCGTCTCTACTAAAAATACAAAAAATTAGCTGGGCATGGTGATGGTGGCGTGTGCCTGTAATCCCAGCTACTCAGGGGGCTGAGGCAGGAGAATTGCCTGAACCCAGGAGGCGGAGGTTGCGGTGAACCAAGATCACGCCATTGCACTCCAGCCTGGGTAACAAGAGCGAAACTCCGTCTCAAAAAAAAAAAAAAAAAAAACAACTCCCATGCAGAATTCCAAATAGCTTAATAATCCTCCTACCCAGTAGGTGAAACATAAACACTTATGCTGTGATTGTGGCATGAGATTAGAGACAAAGAAAAAATCCTGTGTTAGTGAATATCGCAATGAATTTTTAGATGATCTATGAGAAAACAAAATTATTTTATTCAAGTTCACACATACACACACATCCATCTATGTATATAAATATCTTTCTGCCATATTGATAAAAGAATGAAAAAACAAATGAAGACTTGGAGAATAGACTTGCAAGTCACATATTTGTTAATGACTTTTGGTTAACTTGGTAAAGGACTTTTATAATTAGTATGTAAGGAAACTTACCACTGATCAAAAGAAAACAATGCAACAAAATGAGCCAAATATCCACACAGACACTTCATCCAAATCACCTAAAATATTTAACTATAAAATGTTAATTCAGGACAGGTGCCTTTAACCAACAAGGAGATATCAGTACTAATTTATTAGAATGGTTAAATCCACAATTCTCATGATGCCAGATGGCAATGAGGATGTGGAAGAACTCGGTCCATCATGCATTTCTGGTGTAAATCCAAAATCATAACTGCACAAAATATGTTGAAATATTTTCGACGCTTGAAGATAAAAGTAGAATTAAAATGTGATCTAGCAGCTCTTTTCCAAAATATTAAAAATACCAATTCAAAAACTGATGTTCACACTGTCTTCAGAGGAATTCTTGTATGTTTTATTATTTATTTATTTATTTATTTATTTATTATTGCATTTTAGGTTTTGGGGTACATGTGAAGAACATGCAAGATTGTTGCATAGGTACACACATGGCAGTGTGGTTTGCTGCCTTCTGTCCCCTCAGCTGTATCTGTCATTTCTCCCCATGCTATCTCTTCCCACCTCCCCACCCCCCGTCCCTCCCCCATTTCCCCTCAACGGACCCCAGTGTGTAGTGCTCCCCTCCCTGTGTCCGTGTGTTCTCATTGTTCAACACCAGCCTATGAGTGAGAATATATGGTGTTTGATTTTCTGCTCTTGTGTCAGTTTGCTGAGTATGTTTTATTAATCTGATTTATTTTCCACTCCCTGAATTTTGCCTACAGAATAAATGTTGTATGGAGAGTTTCCCAAGTAATTAGAGTGCATACAAATTTTATTGTTCCTTTTCTTGATGAATGGACCTCTCTTTCTAAGAAAGTCTTCAATCTAATAATCCCCTTTCACTTCCTCAGCCCCAGCACAGCTGCCTCCTCCCCAGGGTTTCTGACACTCTCAGGATATGGTTTTCACACTGTGTCTCTCGCACAGTAATACACGGCCGTGTCCTCAGATCTCAGGCTGCTCAGCTCCATGTAGGCTGTGCTCAGTGGATTGTCACTGGTCATGGTGACTCTGCCCTGGAACCTTCTGTGTGTAGTTTGTGTTACCATTGTAAAGGATGATCCATCTCATCCACTCCAGCCTTTGTCCAGGGGCCTGTCACACCCAGCTGGTAGCATAGCTGGTGAAGGTATATCCAGAAGCTTTGCAGGAGACCTTCACTGAGGCCCCAGGCTTCTTCACCTCAGGCCCAGACTGCACCAGCTGCACCTGGGAGTGGGCACCTGTGGAGGGGTGACAGCAGAGAATCAAAGTCCTCTCAACTGCAAAAAGTTTCCTCCTCAGTCATGCAACTAGGTGTCCCTTTACCTGCAGCTACTGCCAGCAAGCAGAAGATCTTCCAGGTCCAGTCCATGGCGAAGAGATTTACACTCAGGGGCTTCTCTAGAGGAGGGATGTGGTTGTTGGTGATGCTCTCGGGGCCCAGACATACCCATATGTACTTCAGTAGACCTTACATTAGTTGCATATTCATGAGACAGATTATTTCATAGCTCAAAGCCTGACCGAGAATGAGAAAAAGAAGATGCATGACACATCCGCCATAGAGGAGTGGGAGGCTGGCGGTTCAAGCCTTAATCCTGCTTAAGAAAATCCATGTCCTGCTCCATTTCTCTTTGTGGATGGCAACCTTTCAATGAAGAACAAGTCCCCACAGATGATGCTCCTCACTCTGAACCCATATGTGATTGGCATAAAGACCACGTAGATCATTTCTGGACCATCAATGTCCATGACGCTGAGCAGGTGCCTTGGTCCCTTCGTGGTTCCCCCAGGAACCAGCACAGCTCACTGGTGGCTCTGAGAAACTGACCGCTGATGTTCCACATGAGTGTCCAGCAGGTTCCTCTGAGATCTGCTGTGTGCTCCTGAGACAGAGACTCCATCACCTGCCTGGGATCTTCATTCCTCAGGCTCTTCAATAAAAACACCCTTGCCCTGTGATGCATAATTGGAGATGACTTTCTTATATCACAGACACTAGGAGTCAGAAGTTGAAATAGGAGTTTGGAGTTCTTTGTGAACTCATGATCCCAAAATACCTTCCAAGGAATCTGAGTTATGGATAATTGTGGGTTTTATTTACAACTCCATTTATTAGTATATTGTAAAGCATTTACATACCATCAGTTCATATTCATAGATCCTCACCTTTCCATAT